CCCGTGGCGTCATTTAGGTTGACCAGGGCTGCTATAGATATCAACAATGTGGATAATTTTTATAGATTGTTGATGATATTATAGCGTAGAGGATCAAGTCTTTGTATATCTGAAGATGTCAAAGTATTTATTGATGATGTCACCACGACCAGTCGACAAATATTAACAAATCAACCCCCAACTATCTCCAGCTAGGGAATCTTATTATTATTATTTATTTAAGTAACCCAGGTTCCTGGAGCGTACAGAAATCGCCAACTACCCGGGATGTCCTTCTGACCTAAGTCTTCTTGGATTTATATACAATGCCAGTGGAAGTCCAATTAATGAGGTGTTGCCAGGCAGATTTCTTTCTTGGGAGATTTTCTAGGGATGCTGGACATATGTTGGTGATACCTAGGAGAGTGGCTGTCTGGAATCTTTGGTATTGGAAGGTTGGGCAAAGTGAAGAGGAGGTGGTCTACGGTTTGGTCTTCATCTTGGCAGTGGGGGCAAGTTGGGTCTTCTTTCGATACCGTTGCAAGGTCTGCCTGAATGTAGCCATGTCCGGTCAAGATTGTTGTGGAGGTAGATCCATGCTTGATGTTTCGAAGCATTTGGAGGAGTAGTTTCGGGGTAGCAGCAAATCTTCGTAGATTTCTGGTGGAGTAATCTTGGATGTAGAGGTCTGTCCACATTTTGAGGGCTATCTGTTCTTTTTACTGCGCGCGACACTCTTTGGGAGGGTGGTAAAGGATAGTGGCAGATTAGAATGTGCTGCATCCTTTGCCGCCTGATCCGCCAGTTCATTTCCTGGAATACCGCTGTGACCTTTGATCCAGCAGAGTTGCACATTTGGTGAAAAATGTAGGTTGTAGATTATTTCTGCAATTAGTTGTGTTCTTGGGGGTCAAGACCTACATATGGCTGATAGAGCTGATTGGCAGTCTGAGGCAATGATAAAGTGTTCTTTCGGGAAATTCATGGTGATTTTTGTTGCGTAGAGAATGGCAAGCAGTTCAGCTTGGAACGCTGAGCACTCCTGGTGGAGTTTAAGTTGTATGGTTTGTAGAGGAGGTGGTAGGATGACTCCAGCCCCAACTCCTTCTGATGATTGGGATCCGTCTGTGTAAATGGTGGTGACATTTAGTTGTAGTGATTTGGTAAAATAGATTATCTTCCGTAATGGGGGATAGGGTAAAAAGGAAGGACTTGGGCGTGATTTGTAGTGGCCCGTTTTCAAAGTTTTTGAATATTCTATGTAAGCCTGTATAGAGATATCGAGTGGAGGACAACCCGTCAATGAGATAGCTGGTTAGCTTTTCTTGATTAATCAAGAATGGGTATTTGGCCAATTCTGAAATAATTAAAAAATCAACGAGAATAGTTGATATTTATTCCGATAGATGGCGCTAGCCATCAGCAACTTTCAGTTGCACGATAAGGAGATGCCTTTTTCTTAATTTATGCACCTTATCCCAGTACAATGTTACATTTGTACTATTTTTTCACATTGTTATTGAGATGTTTAATAAATTGTCTTTTTGAATCAAAGGTAATACCAAGGATTTTAATTGTTTTGTTGATTGCAATGGGCTGGTCAAGAAGTCTTATGCTGTCCTTGTTTGGCCATCTTGGTTTGTTTCTGTAAAACATGCATGCTTGAGTCTTGTGGGGATTTACCAACATTCCATGCCTTCTGCACCATTGTGAGAAATTTTCAAGAAAATTGTTTATTTGACATTTAGGAAGCTTTGGGGCCACCTGCACCATTAGTGTGAAATCATCTGCGAAGCCCACTAATTCGCTCTTTCTAGGTTTTTGCAAAGTAAATGCTTTTAGGGAATCTTGAACAAGCAAGCAAAGAAATATTTTAAAGATTATTTTACAAATACAGAGTAATATATATTTTTATAATCTGTTGAATATTTTCATTGAATAATATTAAATTAAATAATAAACTATTTCTTCGCCACAATATTATATATGTAAAACGACATTTAAAAATTATCCCACATGAGTTTCTTTTCAATGAAAAATCAAAATTTATTTAAAGGAGAAATAACAACAACAACAACAACAAAAAAGCCTTTATTTAGGGTCACTGACCCTATACAGGATTCACCAGAGGTATGCATAAGAACAAAGCAGTGAAGGAAATAACGATATATACAGAGTAAAAAGAAAAGGAAAAAAAAATAATAATAAAAAATAAGAAAAGGAAAAAAAATAATAAGAAGAAAGAGGGAAGCAAGAAATCAACACAAAAAGAGTAGCAGTAAGAAAGTGAGGAGTGAGTATCACTTGGCCTTCTTCTGAGATATGGACTTGTGGAAACCATAAAACGCCGTAGCAATATACTTATTCTGGGTCATATTGTCAATTATTGATGGAAGTGAAGCACAGAGTTGCCCAGTTTTGAGCATAAGGGTTCTTCTTTCTTCTTTCAGAGCAGAGCAATCAAAAATATAGTGAGTGATTTCATTTTGTAGTTTTGAATTACAGAAGGTACAAGTCGGGTCCTCACCGCAGAGCATCTTGGTGTGGTTTTCTCTAAAAAAACTTGAAAGTATTCTAACTTGTGCGAGTAGTCTTACAACCGGGAAAGGAAAATCCCCTAAAAGGTATCCCTCCGTCATGAAAGATATGTGAATGTCTTTGTAGTGAGAGTATAGCTTAGATTTATCCATTCTTGTAAGGTCGTTTTGTATAGATTGGTCGGCCACTGTTTTTAAGAGCCCTGTAATCGCACTCCTCAGCGTTTCAGGGTCATCACAGGAAACAAGTGCAGGGGATCCATTATTGTTAAGCAGATTGGTGAGCTTTTTAATGAAACTGATGGGTGTGCCCGAAGCATTAGACAGTTCCCGTGTTCTATTAAAACATATACGTGGCAATCTGTCACTGCTCATATTCAACACCCGCAGCCAATACTTCAGGGTTAATTTTAAGGCTGTTACACTCAATGAGATACGACCGGTTTCTAATCTGATTAGGTAACCTGGAGTGTATCTGGGCAGATTCAGGAACCTACGGATAAATATGTCTTGTATATTGTCCAGTAAGTCTTTATGCTCTGTTGCCCACAATGGAGCGGCATACATCAGGACAGCTCTCACTATTGTATCAAAGAGTTTGATTGATAAATTTATTGAAGGAGAAATAACAATTATTTCTAACCTTAAGGATGAGGTATGAAAGTAATGATCATTACTCTTCACAATTCATCCTTTCATACCTCATCCTTAAGGTTAGAAATAATTGTTATTTCTCCTTTAAATAAATTTTGATTTTTCATTGAAAAGAAACTCATGCGGGATAATTTTTAAATGTCGTTTTACGATCACAAGCCGCATTATATTATATTGTACAATATTATATATTGATTCTTTCCCTTAGTGTTAGTACTGACAATATACATCTGGGTCTTTGTCACTTTTTTTATTAGGAGAAATGTTTTTAAAAAATGAATTCCTCTCCTTACACAGTATGATATAACCTCCTTATTTATTCCCCTTTGGTTTAAAATTGAACTCGTGTTATCGCTACTGATTATATTGTAGCGAAAATTTATTCTTCTTTTTTCTTATCTCCACACTGGGTGAAGTAGAATGCCTTTGTCATTAAGACTGGGAGCACTACTCAGTGGCAGGCTGACTTAGCTCCAAAAGAAATGGCCGCCTCTAACATGAGGAACAGATGCCATGTGCAGTCGCTCCTAACATGGAGTACAAACGCTGCTCATCCTGTATCCCTAGATCAGGAGCCCTTACAGGGTACTATCAGCAGGGCCAGCTGAGCCCAGGTTTTTTAGCGAGCTTGTTGCTGCTCCCCCTCCTCCTTTATTAATTTTTATAATTTCCTACTCTGCAAACTTGCCTTATTGACTCTCTAGTACAGTAGAACCTTCCTGTAAAGGACAACACCTAATTGCAGAGCCAAAGTGTCCTTTATAGAGAGGTGTCCTCTTACCTGAGAGTAGCTAAATAGTAAAATGGTAATTTTACAAATGAAAACTGTCTTTTGTAGAGAGGTGTCCTCTAGCGTGAGTGTCCTTTCATGGATATTCTACTGTATTTTATAAATTTTATTGCCTTAAATAAATTGCGGTGTCATCCTGAAGTTTTGTCTTTCCTAATTTTCTATGTTACAATATCTACAAGGTAATAAGACTGAATTCAAATAAATAAATATTGTGTGATGTTTCGGTAACAGCGTTGTTATCCTCTTCAGACAAAAGTACTGAATTTATATACTGAAAAAGCATTCAGTACTTTTGTCTGAAGATGGTAACAATGCTGTTACCGAAACGTCACACACTATTTATTTATTTGGATATGGTCTTATTACCTTGTGTCCTTTAAAGAGAATTGTCCTCTTACACCTGACAGTTGTTAAATTAAAAAAAAAATGGTAATTTTGCAGATGAAAACTGTTTTTTGTAGAGAGGTGTCCTCTAGCGAGAGTGTTCTTTCAAAGAAGTTCTACTATTTTATATAAATTTTATTGCTTAAATAAATTGCTGTGTCATCCTTTCCTAATTTTCTACGTTACAATATCTAGAAGAGTAAACTGTGTGTGGCAGACTTCCCTACAAAGCCATCTTTGGCGGAGTCAGCGCTTTGACCTGCGAACAGATGAACAAGTTGAACGGGTTCTCCAATGAATACTGGGGGTGGGGAGGGGAGGATGATGACATGTCCAATAGGTAAGTTGTCTTTTGTCACATTAATCCTGGTGGTAGATCCTTCTATTCCTAAAAATATGTGAACAAAGACTGACCTATTTTTTTTGCTTATTCCTAGTACACATGATACAGGCCATGATAATCATGGTGGGTAGAAGTTGGCGACTACTTTTACTGTAAGTACACCACATGTCTACACATGTGAAAAGCAGTTTGACTTTGCACTTACAAATGTGCCAGAGCCCTGTTTGGTTACTTGCATTCACTGGTGGGGTTGAACTTTTGCGAAAATCGGGGGCCATTGGAGCATTTTTTTATAAATCATGAAAAAAAGTGCCCAATGCGGGAATCGAACCCGGGTCGTTGCGGTCGAAAACCAATGGTTTAGACCATCCTTCCACTGACCCCCAGACTGACCTATGATAAGGCACAATTTGGATTATGCGGTTAAACCTGTTATAATGCCCCCTCTAAATAGCATCTCCCTCTCTATAACGCCTGATTTTAAATACATAGTACAATGCGATTACATTAAAAGTAACCTGTCTATAGCACCCCATCTCTATAGCACCCTATTTTGGTGAGTCCCAAGAGAGGGCGCTATAGACAGGTTTAACTGTAGATATTAATAGTGTGTGACATTTCAGTAACAGAATTCTTTTGTCTGATGATGGTAACAAAGCTGTTACCGAAACATCACATGCTATTAATTTATTTGGATAACAGGGTTGTTACCAAAATGTCGCACACTATTTATTCATTTGGTTTTGGTCTTATTACCTTATAGTTCTAATCTATAATCCAAATTGTGTCTTATCAAAACTATCTTTCTTTGTATTATTATTTTTTTATATTATCCCAAGCACACACATGATACAGGCCATGATAATCATGGTAGGTTGAAGTTGGCAACTGCTTTTACTGTAAGTATTTATTCATTTGGATTTGGTCTTGTTACCTTATAGTTCTAATCAATAATTCAAATTGTCAAAACTATCTTTCTTATATTTCTTTTTTTTTAAATATTATCCCAAGTATGCACATACACACACACATGATACAGGCTATGATAATCATGTTGTTGTTGTTTCTTATCCCCTTGTGTAAAGATTACACCAATTCCATGATGATAATCATGTTGTTGTTGTTGTTTCTTATCCCCTTGTGTAAAGATTACACCAATTCCATGATGATAATCATGTTGTTGTTGTTGTTTCTTATCCCCTTGTGTAAAGATTACACCAATTCCATGATGATAATCATGGTAGGTTGAAGTTGGCGACTGATTTTTACTGTAAGTGATTCACATATCTACACATTGTATACACCTACATGTTGTATCCACATGTGTGTAAAGTTAAGATCTGTAGAAAAAAGTTACTGGAGAGGGAGGGAGGGAAGTAGAATGTTGAGAATGTAATAAATGGACAAATTCAGGAACCACCACCCTCCAATGTCATACAAGGAGCTCAGGATAAGAAGGTTGTCATTCGCTTATCTGCTAAGTGGAGCTCATTTTTCACTTTCTCCCCCCTAACCACAATTACTCACAGTTGTGACTCCATACCGGAATCTATACACATTTATATAAGGTGGGGTCGGTGGAAGGATGATCTAAACCGTTGGTTTTCGGTCACTACGACCCGGGTTCAATTCCCACATTGGGTACTTTTTTTTCTGATTTAAAAAAAAAAATGCTCCGATGGCACCCGATTCTTGCAAAAGTTCAACCCCACCAGTGAGTGCAAGTACCCAAACAGGGTTCTGGAATATTTGTAAGTGCAAAGTCGAACTGCTTTTCACATGTGTAGATATGTGGTGCACTTACAGTAAAAAGCAGTAATCTACTTCTACCCACCATGATTATCATGGCTTGTACCACGTGTACTAGGGATAAGCAAAAATATATATATATAAGGTGAATGACCTGGGCAATGCCCGGGTTTTACCCAAGTGCATTATCTGAGTGAGTGAAAAGACAGTGTATAGCACATGTTCATCACATTGTATTTATAAGAATAATTATCACTCTAAAGTGACATGATTTGAGTATATTCTCAAAAGAAGAACACAAAATTATGATAATAGTAATAATGGTTTGTTAATTGGAATCCTCATGACTACTAATTATCAGAGGATAATGATATATTCATTTAATATTGATATAACAAATGTTATTTTTTATGAAAATATTATCTTATTCTTTCTAGATAAGAAAACAATATAACATTTGTGTTAAGCAATATTCATCTGGTAAACATTCACTCAGGCATAAGCCGGGAACAGCTGTGTCATTCAGTAAATATTGTTGAGCGTTTCCCCTCTGGTTCTTCGCAACGACGCCATTTCCTCCACCGTGAATCTCCTACCCTGGCTCAGTTGCGTCACCTCTGCAGCTCTACCCTGCAGACAGCCCAAAGACTCTCTGAGAATCGCCACTCAGGTGGATCTCCTTTCCTTCTGGCAGTATCTCTCGGCCTTACCACTGGTGGGGGGACACGAGAGACTTACCAGAAGAGTAGCGACTGTGGTGTTGATGAGAGAGTCACAACAGCAACTGGCAACAAGTCTGTTAACACTCTTCTTTTATTGTCATCTTTAATCCACATTACATAAGAACTTGAATATCAATTGACGGGTATTTACAATATATTACATCCTAGAACCAATATAAACAGATATTTACAATTATTAGCTCCAGGAAATAGGACCACAGCAGTAGGCGATTCCTACATTAGTCCCAGACTAGATATAGGCTAAAGCATCATCTATTGGTGGAGGTTGTAACTGTTTTCAGGCTGATATACGTGACAATATATATAATGATTAAATTTTATAATTCCAAGATGTTACAAATTGTTGTCTAATTTTAACCTTTGAATAGCTTATAGCTATATATTCAGCTACCTACATGTAAAATTTTCTAATGGTTTGTTCAGTAGTTTTGGCGTAGAAGAGTAACAAACATCAATGATGATAAGGCACAATTTGGATTATAGATTATAAACACAAGGTAATAAGACCAAATCCAAATAAATAAATAGTGTGTGACGTTTCAGTAACAGCGCTGTTATCGAAATGTGGCACACACTATTTATTTATTTGGATTTGGTCTTATTACCTTGTGTTTAAACATCAATGATGTTGACTTTTTTTTTTTGCTTATCCCTAGTACAAGTGGTACAGGCCATGATAATAATGGTGGGTAGAAGAAGGCAACTGTTTTTACTGTAAGTGCCCCACATGTCTACACATGTGAAAATGGTGACATGAATAGATTGCGCCAAAAATACCAATTTCAAATTTCACATGGATAATCCATTTGTCTCATCCATTGATGACTTCTACTTATCCCCAGGAGACACCATCAACAAGCTCTACAAGCATGATAACCTAATATGATTGAGTGAAGATAAGAAAGAAGAAGACATGGATAATAATGATAATGATGTTGGCATTAATTCATCATGATTAAGCATCTGATAAGTAAACCACACTACTAGATTCAGTAAAATGGAAACCAAAAGTCTACTGGAATATCTGGTGTCAAGCCATGGACACTCCTTATCAATACAGATACACAGAGCTACAATCTAGTTTCATCACCCTGAGATGATAGCGAAATCTCCCAAATTTTCCATTAAAAAAATATATATTCTATTGCAGGTGAAGTAGATAAGATTTTTAAATAGAAATACAGTAAAACCTCTCACTAAAATGATAATTGGATATAGCGAACCCTTCCCTTATAACAAAACTGAATAATCCCCAATTTTATAATACAGTGAACTATGGCTATAAGTGAACCAAAGTTTCAGTCTCCAATCACACCACTAGATTCAGTAAAATGGAAACCAAAAGCCTACCGGAATTTCTGGTGTCAAGCCATGGACACTCCTTATCAATAAATATACACAGAGCTACAATCTAGTTTCATCACCCCAAGATGATAGCCAGTCGCCCAAACATGACCACTACGACCCGGGATTGAATCCTGCATTGGGCTATTTTTATGATAAAAAAAAAAAAAATGCTCCAATGGCCTACAAAACTTGCAAAAGTTAAACCCTACCAACAAGTGCAAGTAACCCAATGGTGCTCTGGTACATTTGTAAGTTCAAAAGTCGAACTGCTTTTCACATTGTAAACATGTGGTGCACTTACAGTAAAAGTAGTTGCCAACTTCTTCCCAAAATGATTATCATGGCCTATTCCACATGTACTAAAGATAATAAAAAAAAATTAACCAGGGATATAGCGAACCCTTCTCCTATAACGAACTCAAAATAATATCCCTATTTTTAAATTTTATAATACAATGAACTAAGGCTATAATGAACCATGTTTATAGTAAACCACAGGTTCAGTCCCATTGTAGTTTGCTATAGAGGAGTTTTACTGTACATTGTTATTTTATGGGAGAATGATTTTGTGATGTGTAAATAAAAAAGAGACACATCTAGTGTTTCTTAGTTAAGATTCACATTATTATTATGTTTGCAACACCTAGTAGAGTACTTGAAATTGAAGATACTTCGGCCAGTAAATCTTTTTCTGAAGAACTATGAATGCCGGCCAGGCAGCCTCTATCTATACCTAGTAGAGTATTGAGATAACTTGACTGGTTGGTTGACAGGATAAAGTACAGCGGGATGAGGATCATCAGGTATTCCCCCTCCATCGCCCGCTATACCATGTTGAAACACAAGAAAGAGACTCCCAATCCTGAGAGGTGAGGAACCTTTCTCATAATTTTTATATCTACCTTGTTGTTGTTTCTTTTATTCTCTTGTGCAAAGATTAAATTAATTCCATGAGTCCATGGAATGGGGTGAAGGTACAGCTTTCATTGATCATGGCACCATGACTGGGTGAAACACATTATTGACTGTATTGACTCATCCATTGATGAGTTCTATTCATCCCCAGCAGACATCATCAACAAGCTTTACAAGCTTGATACCTTAATATGATTGAGTGGAGATAAGAAAGAAGAATAAGAAGAGATGACACCATGATCCAGGCACACTTTGGTGAAAGTCTGACTTTGCCTGTAATTTGGAGGCTGTTCCTAACATAGAAGCCTTTGCTGCCGACTCTTAACATGAGTACAGACACAGCTCCTTCGTATCCCTGGAGAGGGACCCGTGCTGAGGTCTATCAACCGGCTCAATTGAACTCAGGATATTTAGTCTTTCTCCTCTTTCTAACAATGCTGTTGTTGGTCCACAACTGCTTATTATATAATGGTTTATTCTGCTTGTTTCGCAGCTGGCATTCATATCTGAAGGTCGTTCCCCTATCCACCACCTGGGAAGGTGTTCTGTAGCAGTCAGCTCTTCTGAGAGATATCTACCTTAAAGTACACATAGCAGTGGTCCATGAATAGCATGTTTATCCCCTTGTAAAATGTAGACAAAGTCTGTCTG